AACACACATTAAATGGTCTAAAGGCAATTTCTCATTAATGAGGCTAAATACATATCCTCATTAATGGCACTTCAACCAGCAAGTTCCAAGGTTCTCAGAATTACAAAGCGGCTATTATTATCTTGAGGAGACACGCGTATTGTATCTAACACGTATGCTGAGACCCAAAGTGATTTCCTGATTACTGCAAGCCATTGAAATCTCCACAAACCTTGGACAGATTCTCAAAACAATCAAGTCAAAATATATTCACATTAATTCGTATCTAATCTGTTCACAATTCGCAAAAAAATATCGTAAACATCTGTCCTAATAAGTATACCTTTTTCCTCCCACGAAGCCAGAGCATGCCCATCTTCGGTAGAAATTCACAATAACATCTGTCCATATTGGCCCACGGGTACCTAATCCCCCGGTAAGATCTTATTAAATTCTTGTCCAGCTTTTTTTTTTTTTTTTTTTGACAACCACCAATACCTCAAGAATTTTTTTTTTCGACCTTAGCCGAAATCCTGTACCACAAATTGCTCATCAAACAAACGGAGGAAACTATCGTAAAAAAAAACTTACGTAACTTCCTCTCATTTAACGATGCATAATTTGAAACCCATATTTTTTAACCCATATTCCTTACGATGAATTATATAAGAATCAATGTCAAAATCCGGGACGGTATTCACGAAAGGTCAAAAAGAGCCTATGATCTCAAAGTTAATCCTGGTAACAGAACACGCATTTATATCGTAATAAACCCTATTCTGATAATCTATTGTAATGAGATGATAAGGTAAATATGTCAATAAATCTTGCTTATATCATAACGGTAATATTACGCATTAAGTATATCTAAAGTGATGTGGTTTTCCTATGCTTATCGTCATTGCATCAGCTGTAAAGACGGGCGCCGCTATTTGTACGTTTTAAATAAAATATAGAAATAAAAATTTAGGAGGCGGTTCAATTAACGTTTAATTATTTATCCAAAGAGGCCTCGAAGCTTTTCTAATTATTTCCAGAGCGGAATAATTCTCAACAGAAGAAAACTTGCATCAGAACAAGTTTAAGAGCCCTTAGGCGTTAGGACAAAATTAAAGACAGTCATTGTGGACGTGGATAGAAAATATCATTAAAATATAAGAAACGACTTAATTAAACGTTTGAAAAAATAAATCAAAGGGGTCTTCTAAGATTTTTCTATCATATTCGATACAGAATTATCTTCAAAATTGTGTAAAATTATAGTTTTAAAGACATTTCCACACCTGCCCTAAAACTTCGGCCGAGTCTTAGACAAAAGTGCCTGTCTAAGACATTTTCGTGGAGAGTCACAGACAAATTTGCCAAGTCAAAGACATATGAAGATAATCACACATCAGTAAAGACAAATGGACTTTCGAGACCCATGCTGATTTATTGCCAACCATTAATCGATCCGCTTTCTACATATTTGAAGCAATTTCCTATCCGAAAATACAAATGGCGCCGCGCGGCTTCACAGCTGATGCAAGGACAAAAACATATGGTTGCCCAAATTTTAAATGAATATATAGAATGTGTTATACTACTGTCATTATAATAGTAGGTTAGTAATTGCAGTCTGTAGTCTTATCATATTACTGGAATCAATTATCTAGAGTCTGTAACGTGTAAGTGTTTATTCTATTACCAGAGCACTAACTCTGAGATGTGGCAGCGGGGCAAATCACAGACTTTTTCTCGTCCAAGACAAATTTCGGAGTCTAAGACCTTTCGTGAATACCGCCCCTGAATACCAAAGCACAGTCACTGGTCGTTTGATAATGCATTCAACTCTCCTTTCTGTCAGTGCATCATCCAGCAATCCACCTGCTTATAAATGTCCTAAAATGGATGACGGTGACGCCCACATAATGTCTAATAGTCTTGAAAGCACAATTACGACAACAAGTGAGGCACTGAGAGCAAATTAATTTTCTCCTGAAAATATCAATATACAATAGACACTGCGAAACCCACGTACGTAAGCACCAAACTTCAAAATGTCCCCACACTTATTTAAATTTAGGTAATGAACTCCGTAAAATTCCAAAATACAATTTTCGAATTATTTTTGGCCTTTGCTGACTGCTCTTCAAGTATATTCCTTGTCGAGTTCCTTAATTAAGTCTCATTAGTAATGACACTTCCTTGGACACGCACACGGAACACAGCCCCTTCACCTCAATTATCGGCACAAATTCCAGAAACTCGCACCTCTCTCTCACTCAAAAAAAAAACTCCATTAAAAAAACGCCAAGGATATACATAAAAAAACACACACGAAAACAACATAAACAACAAAAAACAGAAAAGGAATAAACAAAATTTAAAACCCCCTCAAGTATATATATAAAAAAACGAAAACAACAACAACAAAAAACGGAAAAGGAATAAACAACAACAAAAAAAGGTATAGACAAAAGACACACGCCACCATCGTCTCGGAGACCGAAAGGACCGCCGGAAAAGCGAAGACTCGAAC